TGAGTTGAAAGTCAGGTTTTATATTGTGGTGTTATGTGATACACCTGCTACTACTGAGTTGAAAGTCAGGTTTTATATTGTGGTGTTATGCGATACACCTGCTACTACTGAGTTGAAAGTCAGGTTTTATATTGTGGTGTTATGCGATACACCTGCTACTACTGAGTTGAAAGTCAGGTTTTCAACATGCTGGTTCTACACATTGGTATTTCTCTTTTATTCTTATGTTACCTGATCCATTTCACAAAATAAGTAAATGTTTCATAGAGAAAAAATCTGTATTCAACATTTATACTAATTTTAATATCTTTCCACAACCATGAAATGTGCTTATTATGTGATTCACTTCAATAAACCTGTTCATATTTAATAGAAATAAATATAATACACAGATCTAATGTCATCAATACTAACTAGAAATAAGCAACAAACAAGTACAAAGACCACAAATTTGTAGCTATGTTGAAAAGTTTTATCTACGCCTACTTACAAAAAAAATTATGGACAAAATTTTAAAATTAGGGTTATCACTTTGAAATTTTATTACTTTATCCAAAACAAATGTTAATAAAATTTATGTTAAAGTTCTAAATCTGAAAACTTCAGTTATGGATTTATTTTGTAAGTGACTTGAGGATGAAGAGGTCAGAAATTTTTTAAAACTTAATGTTGTTATGTGTCCTTGAAAAAATATAACGGACTGTAAATGATTAAGACCATGGTATGTCAATATGATGATACATCACAACCTCAAGGTATATACCTAAACACGGAAGCATGTTCCAGTAATGTAAACTGACTAATTTAATCACCCACCTGTAACATGAGACTAAGATGATAGACGACTGAATCAGCAAGCTTCACTATATCCTTCACGACTGCATCAGCACGTCCATCAGGAATGACACTGTTCAATAAAGATTAGCCTTTTGCAAATATACTTCTTCTATGTAAAGAAACATAATCTCATTATTCTAAAATATCAAATGAGACATCTGTTTAGTTAATTTCACATACAAAAGATGATGTAATTTATAAAAATAGTCAACATTTGAATTCTTACTTTTGTCGAATATCTGGTAACAACATTCCTTCTCTTGCCCAGCTTCTGAGTTGCGGAGCTTGGTCACTGAAATTCTCTTCAAATAGTAATGGTTTCATACATCTTAACCTGACATGCCAAACTAGTTTACTCTTCTCTGCAATGACAAAAATAATGACAATATTTCACACGTTAATACAATTTTGACAAAACATTACGATAATAAATAATATTAATACTCTGATCACCAATGGTCTCTTTAATCAGCAGGGGTGAATAAGTTGAAGAGAAAAGAGCTAAGTAAAGACTCTTTAAGAAGAACTTTTTGAAAGAGTATAAATATACAACAAGCACAGACTCCAAGATATTATGATATATTAATCAATATATTTTTTCGTGATTTAACAATTTCTGCAATTTTGTTTCTATTCTGCTACATGCACTGAAAAATGGAGCATCAACAACACATTTATTCATTACATGGCCTTCCACAGCTAAGCCTGCCCGATAGTAAACATGATTCTTATAGCTAAGCCTGCACTATAGTAAACATGATTCCCACAGCTAAGCCTGCACTATAGTAAACATAATTCCCACAGCTAAGCCTGCACTATAGTAAACATGATTCCCACAGCTAAGCCTGCACTATAGTAAACATGATTCCCACAGCTAAGCCTGCACTATAGTAAACATGATTCCCACAGCTAAGTCTGCACTATAGTAAACATGATTCCCACAGCTAAGCCTGCACTATAGTAAACATGATTCTTACAGCTAAGCCTGCACTATAGTAAACATGATTCTTACAGCTAAGCCTGCACTATAGTTAACATGATTCCCACAGCTAAGCCTGCACTATATAAACATGATTCCCACAGCTTAGCCTGCATTATACACAGATACACAAGTTGAACTTGATGATTTATATCAAATGTTTCATAGATACACAAGTTGAACTTTATGATTAAAATCAAATGTTTCACAGATACACAAGTTGAACTTGATGATTTATATCAAATGTTTC